ACGGTCCGTTCTGGCGGCACGCACCGTATGTACGGATGAGACCGTACGTATGCGACGTACGCTTAAACCGTCGAGTGCGTATGGCGCCGTCTGCATCGTCGAGTCGTGCCGTTGCCACCACGTGGAGGGAGCAGCCGCCGGGGAGAAGCCGCCACATCAAGGGAGCAGCTGCCGAGGAGCCACGCGTGCACGCGAGAGAGAGAGAGAGAGTTGGAGCACGTGCGGGGGCGAGCTCGCGCGCGCGCCAGAGAGAGAGAGAGAGAGAGTCGGTGTGCACGCGCAAGCGTGTGTGTGAGAGAGAGAGAGTGATCGCACGGGCCGTACGAACGCACATATGGCCTGTACGAACACGCGTATGGCCCGTACGCCTAAACGGCGCGTGCGCCGGGGCGGGCCATTTATTTGAGCGCATGAAACACCACCCCCAGCCGCCGGGCCCTGGCCCGGGAGGGTCCTACATGCCGGCCTGCTGGGAGGGACTGCAGGGAGGTTGGAAGCGAGGGCGCTGCACAACGGGTGCCACGAGGGCAGATTGGACCACGGTGGGGGCCAGTCACGATGTCGCCCAAGCGTCGGGGGTGGCAAAGCTTAAGTTCGTTGGGTTCAAATGGATGCAGAAGGGGCAGACGCTGCCAAACCAGAATGGCAACTTCGTCATGAAGTGCAAGCTGTGTGACCAGGAATTTGTCGGCAGTCAGAGAAAGTGTGCGTTGCACTACACAATCAAGAATAACTGCCCGCAAGCCATGTTGGACATTTTGGCTGAGATCCAGAACAAGAGTGCATACCACTTTGATCAGAGCCACTGGAAAAAGGTACAGGCGTACCTTGCGGAGAGGGGGTGGGCAAACAAGAGAGGACGGCTAAGTCAACAATAAGAAGACTCGGGAGAGGAGGACGAAGATGACCCAGAGCGAGTGGCGGAGGAAGACGTCGAAGAGGCTGGAGGGGCGTGTGAGGTGCCTGAGAGGGGAGGTGTTGAGGTTGGTTGTCGGGTTGACGATGACAAGTCTGCGGAGGTTCCGATCGATGTTGAGAAGGAGGCGGAGTGTGACCGCGGAGAGTTGAGGGCAGAGAAGAGAGCGGTCACTGACATTGGGATGTCGAGGAAGAGGAAGACTTCTTCGCAGGGTCTGCTGGCTACAGGGGCCACGAAGAAGTTTCGTCAGTCTCGCATGGATGAATCCTTCGATCCAAAATGGCAGCAGGACTTGGACGTGTATTTCCTGCAGTGGTTGTATGTCAGCGGCATCCCGTTCCACGCAACGAGGAGGCATGAGTTCAACACGTTCAGGAAGCACCTCGCGACATGTCCCCCTCGGGTGCATCCGTCTATGCCCAACCATCACCGCATTTGTGGCGATGGTATTGTCCAGCAGCACAAGGGCGTTGCGGAGATGTTGGCGATGCTCAGGAGAGATGTGGCGGCGACAAGAGCGACCATCCTCACGGATGGTCGCAAATCCATCACTCCTGATCAGATAGCAAACTTTTTAGCAGCCGGATTTTCAGGGGCGTACCTTTTGAGGACAATCTTGAGGGACGGGGCTGAGCAGGATACGGCGAGTGTGGTTGTGAGGCGGTGGAAGAAGATATTTGATGACTTTGGCATTGAAAATGTCAATGCTATTTGTATGGAGTCTGCGGGGACATACGTTGCGGCTGCGAAGCTCCTTGCGCAGAACAACGATCTTCGATACAGTCACATCACTTGGCTTCCATATGCGGTGCATGTTTGCAGCCTGATGTTGTCAGCCATTGGCAAGGACGGGCGAGATGGTGTCGTTGGACACAGGGAGGACACGATCATCAGAGCGAGGGCGGTCGTGCGATTCCTTTGGTCACACGGGGCTGCTCTCACCCTTTTCAGGCGATTCTCCGCGCGTCACCCTGCCAAAGGGCAGACAACGCCGTCGTCGGCTTCGAGTGGCACCTCTTGTCACGGTCGGGAGCTCATTTACCCGATGCAGACTAGATTCGCCACACACTACTAGAGAGGCTATTGGAACGACGTCACTCGCTTGAGGATATGATGATCAGCGATGAGTGGTTGCGACAACCGTGGAGGCGAAGCTTATGGCTTCAGCCGCGGTGGGTGCGGCAGCAGGTCAGATTCGCTATGTTTTGGGACGACGTCGAGGACATTATCGAGTTGATGACACCTGTCATGCAGTTGTTGCACAGACTCGATCGTGGGGGACGCGTGATGTCACGCTTGTGGTCATGGTCAGAGAGGGTCATCCAGAGGGTGGCTCAGGCACCTACCCGGCGCACTAGTCATGCAAAGCTCGACGCCCTTGTTAGAGGTCTGCAGGCGTGGAGGAGGCATATGTTGGAGCCTGTCCATTGCATGGCCCACCTCCTTAACCCGCACCACAAGAGCATTGCTTACTTTGAGGGGGCGAGGAGGATAGATCATGAGAGGGAGTTGGCAATTGAGGCTAACATTTACCTTCAACAGCAGGCGGGATCGGACAGGCAGCTGTATCAAGATTTGAGGACAACGTTGAGGGAGTTCCACAGTCGGTCGCGACGGGAATAGAGATGCGTTGTGTTGCAGGGGGGAGAAGGAGACATCGGCGGTTGGTCAGTGGTGGGTGCAGTGGGGGGACGGTGTTCCTTTATTGCAGAGTATCACTGTTCGCCTGATGCACACGTGGACATGTGCCTCTCCTGCGGAGAGGAACTGGGTTGTCCACGAGCCCGTTTAGGTGAAGCAGCGTAACAAGCAAGCTCACTCGTTTGGTGGAGATATCCACCAATTTGAGACTGCTTCGATGTCACAAGAGGGGTGTGGGGTACGTCCTCCCATGGGAGGACGAGGATGTCATCACGGCGGAGGAGAGACCGAAGCCCCGTGACTCGGGAGTCCACCCCGCGGATAAGGTCTCCGATGAGCAGCTGGACAGGCATGTGTGGAAGGGGCGGAAGGATTCGCTCACTCGACAGTCCGCGAGCGTGGAGAGATACTTCGACAGACGAGCGACTATTTTCCTGCCACACGAGGAGGAGGTGGTGTACGACCCTGAGCCCGACCCGCTCTCGCAGTACAAGATTGAGGAGGAGCCATGGTCAGATCCCGAAGACCTGGATGTGGAGTCGGGTCAGTCTTCCGACGATGATGTCCCTCTTGCACTGATGCGGCGTGAGACGCGAGAGTCGACCTCGGTCTGTCCTCATTTTTCGCCTCGCCCACGAGACAGTGTTGCACCTGCACCTACTGTGAGTGGCAGGGCAGGTGACGCAGAGGCACAACGCCCGGGCCCTTCCATTCGACAGTGACAGCGTACATCCATTGACTTGGACAGTGACGACGACGATAGAGGGTATGAGGGCAGCAGCGAGTCCGACGACGATATGGATTTCGGCAGGGGTGCGGAGGATGCCAGACCGGGAGGTGATGACGGCCCTCGAGACATTACTGCCGCGAGGCAGCAGGGTCAGCGATGTTCTGCGAGATTGGCGGAGGAGAGAGATCGTGGTGGTGGGGGGGCAGCCAGGGGAGGAGGAGATGGAAGATCGGGGGGACAAACTCCTCTTTCCCCTCAGAGGGGGAGATCCGAGGCTGCCCACCACCTTACAACCTCTGCAGGGGACTTAGTCGCCGCGACCGGCTCGGTGACCGATTTTCTGGGCATGTCGATGGGACCTCCCCCGACCCCCCTTGATGCTGGACACGCCCTGGTTGCCGCAAGTGAGACACCGATCAGCCAGGTTGTACGAGGATTGGATATTGATGGGGGTCTCTCGAGCAGTTTGTTGATGGAGGCGGCACAGGGAATGAAGGGTACGCCCGGATGGGCCATGCGGAGCATGGGGGATGTTGTCGATCGTCCACCTACGCAGGAGATGGATGTGGAGACGGATGTGGACAGGAGGGACCGAGAGGAGAGACAACGAGCATTGACGCTTGCTCAGTTCTGTCTTGTGACACAGGACATCAGAGCGACCTTGGATGCTGCTCGCGCCCTTGAGACGGGCGTCACACTCGCCGCCGCGGCGGATCGTCGTGATACCCACGGTACGGGGGAGCGGAACCAGGATGCCGAGGAGGTTCAGGAGGGGGACGGCTCCCAACCTGCGGAGGGTGATGGCGGAGTTTGCAGACCAGGACTTGACCCCATTCGCGGTGAGGATGATGATGCAGAGGGAGGTGGTGATGGGGCTGTCGGTGGAGGGGATGCACCTCATGGAGGATCGGATGCAGTTGCTCGGCATGATGCATGCGAGGAGGACAGACGAACACGGGTGGAGGGCATCAGGCGGATGCCGGAGTAGGTAGTGCGTCTGCTGCACAAATGCAGCGGTGTGCAGTTGAGGGACCTGGCGAGCAGGCAGCCGTCTCAGCGATCGTCGGCTGCACTGACGCGCTTGCGGATGAAATTTTTGTGTTGCCCTTGGGTGGCGCCATGTCCGCTGCAATTTTGGAGTGCGATGGGAGGGAGGATCCTTTGGCGGCAGATCGGCGGGGCCGGATGGAGGATGACAGCAGGAGAGCTTTGAGAGACCCCCACCGTATGCATAGTGCAGCCCGTTTGTGCCCTCTCTCATGACAGGCGTCACCCCTCCCCCTTGGGATCCTGTGGGGCAGATATAGAGCATCAGGGCCGCATGAGCGGCACATACGAGGTCATGGGATAGTGGGTGCGGCGGATCAGAGGGTTGTTCATCAGGACCAGGGACACGACTCGGACGTTCGGAGGGTAGAGGTTTATATAGTCTTTCTCCGCAATCGCGGATGAAGACTCGACTTGATGGATTAGGTTCAGTGAGAAAGGTCACTCAGGCGATGCGAGACATGCAGCTTGGATTAACTGCCATACCCGCATTTCAGAGACCTCCACCATTGTCGCGAGGGGGGGATGTTGTGGTGGATACAGCAGGTTGGGGTCGGGGCGAGATTGGAGGAGCACGTTCAGACAGTACTGGGGCCGGTCCTTCGACACATCGCAACGCACTCGTGACAGGTGCACCGACACAACAGACGGGGATCACCGCAGCGGTGGCACATGCGCTGACCTCTTCGACGGCTATCGATCCGCCTTCGACCCACCCGCCGGATAGAAGAACGGTGGGCCGCATCTTATAAGAGGATGTCAGGGACAGGTGACCACGCCCTGTTGCTTTTGCACCTGACCCGTATTCCTCGGGGACTGATGGTTTGGAGATGCCTGTGGGACAGCGGAAGAGGCAGGATGCCCATCACATTCTGCTCAGAGACATGGTCAGGACCGAGGTGGACGGGAGAGAGAAAGAGAGAGAGTTCTACGGGCAGAGGAGGTCGCTCGTGCAGCGTCCGGCGAGACTAGGCATGTGGGTGATGGTGTAGTTGCTGCCCAGACGAGGACGAGGGCGGATGTCGTTGACGACGGCGACGATTAGTTGTTTGTTTATTCTCGACTTTGTTTTAGTCAATATATTATATGTGGCGGTTTTGCTTCTTGTGATTATGACTTTTCATTTTCAGTCGCATGCACTGGTTTGCACAGACATGGAGCTCCAGGTAGGCAGGGTGTACTATAGTTAATTGTGGATGGTTTTTAGATATTAGACAGGTTTTCACATATGTCATTCATGTCATAGGATTTTGTTTATGTTTTGGTGACACACGCCATAGACATTGGACAACACATGACGAGAGAGAGAGAGAGAGAGAGAGAGAGAGAGAGAGAGAGAGAGAGAGAAAGAGAGAGAGAGAGAGAGAGACATTTGTTCTAGGTTCTTTTCCTCACCTTCAAATTGTCGCTTATGGATGACCATGCTTCACATTCCGACATTTGGTTTTCACAACATTGTCTTTGCGAGCGACTCCATGCTCCGAGTCATTTGTGTTTTCCATTGTGATCGACATTGCTTGCTTGGACTCTATACATGATGAATGATTCAATGCATGCTCTAATGCAACTTGAAAAAATTGAAATAAGTGATAATGTAAGGTCTTCACCTTCTCCGCCAATGATGTGTAATTGTTGTTTGTTTTTTGCGGGGTGTTGGGATATGTTGCGTGGCAGCACGTGAACTGAGGATTCACAAGTTTTGTTTCGGGGTGTCGAAGGTATGTTTTGATTTAGCACTATCGAGATCCAACCAGCCCCTATTTGAACCCCCACCCGCACCGTTGTTAGATAAATTCCCGATATGAACCCCCTACCCTAAACCCTAGACCCCGCATGCCAACCCCTAAACCCTAAACCCTAACCCAAACCCATATCCCCTAACCCCTAACCCCTGAACCCCTACACCCCAAACCCCCAAACCCCCAAAACCCCCTGAAGCCCCTACCCTAAACCCTAAACCCCACATGCCAACCCCTAATCCCTAAACCCTAATGAAACTCATACCCCTAGCCCCTAACCCCTAAACCCCTACACCCCCCACACCCCCATACCCCCACACCTCCAAAACCCCCTGAACCCCCTACCCTAAACCGTGAACCCCGCATGCCAACCCCTAAACCCTAAACCCCAACCCAAACCCATATCCCCTAATCCCTAACCCTTAAACCTCTACACCCGCCACACCCCAACCCCCCAAAAACCCCTAAACCTGTCTCTTATACACATCTAGATGTGTATAAGAGACAGCCATAGAATAAACAAAGAACAACACCAGCATAAAC